CTGATAAGCGCTAATGTATTATTCAGTCTTAAGGTAGAAAAATGATAAGAATCAAAACGAATTGAAAAGCTTGTGGCTGCTTTAACTCAGTCATCTGAAGAACCACCTTCGACCTGAACAATTTAAGGAAACTGAATTTGTCCTTCATTTTGTTAGTGGTATTTTCAGAAAATAGTTGTTTCACTAAGTTACACTGAATAGATCAAAATTAGGAAATATTAGTTGAAAATTATACTAAGAGAAATATTTGATACTTACCACCATTCGAATAGAGGGAAAGGTCAGAAGGCGTTAAGCATTTTTTATTGTTTGTATCCAGTGAGTGAAATTTGTAATATATCACATAAAATTGCTCGTAGGAGAAGAAATCGAGCTCTTCACTGATATCCACTGTTTGCAGCCTCTTTATTGCCTGCAAAACATTTCTTTCGTTCATTTCTGGAGACTAACTTAAATATTAAATAAGTTTGTTCAAAATCTTACACAAATAGAACTTTTCATCTGTGTTCTGTAAACAACACTTTCCTCCTATTCCTTGCTTGGCCATCCGGCAAATTAGCTCTGCGTATAAAAGTGGTGATTTCGGATTCTGGGTAAAAAACAAATGGCTAAGCTAGTAAACTTTCTCGTATTTGATCCGCTTATTTGCAAATTGCCATGAATTTGTTCTCCTGCAGGCTCGAAGGAGGAAATCGTCGGTACCCAAGCCAACATGTTGCCAAGGTACCATCGCTGTTTGGGTTTGGGATGTCAAGTTGCTTTTGTCTCTCACAAGAAACGGAATGTGGCCAGGCTGGAATTTCACCCAATTCTCAAAGAACGATTGGGCAAAGATACTCGCAACAGTAAAACTACCGGAAGAGACAGCACTCGAACGTACTTTCAGCAGTGATGACTGCCGTAACTCAGCTAATGAGATGCGTTCATTCCACAGACGGCTCACAATCCAGAAAATGCGTGCAGTCACCTGCAACAGTTCATCAGTAATCCATAAGCAACAAAATAGACTGGCGCTTGTTAGAAGAATTTTGCGCGTTTATCGCAGGCGAAGTCTTCGGAGTGCTTAGTTTAGTGACAATTACTCTTTTTCATCAAAATGAAAAGGTTGGGGAGAAAATCTTTCTAAGGGCCTCTAAAGTGATTCTTTAAGTTGAGTACTTTCCGCATTTCAAAGTACGACTCATAAGCGCAACTTATTGGAAACAGCTGGTTTTCAGAAGCGCCGAGATTCATTATTTCGATGGATGGACACCTGCAGTGCAACTCACAAATTGCCCAACTGCTCTTTCCGATGTGGCACGCTCCGAACACGTTAGCCCATAACGTAATACTATCTGGATGAGTCGTTATAAAAGAGGAACACGCTCGTTTTTTTTTTTTTAAACTACTTAACTGTTTCAATGTAAGCGCTATGAAAAGATGGTTCGTCTTTCAGGAGCTGCAGTGAGGGCAGAGTATCGATCAGGTCCTGAATGAGCGGCTCAAAGTCATTTGGTACCAGATAATTTCGGGATCCCTTTGTGAGGATATATACGAACTGTGCTGCCTCGTCGTAAACGCTTGACTTGAATCTAAAAGCTTTGAGGATAGCTTTTAAAAGAAAATAATGAACGAACGGTGTTTGATCGGTGATTCAGTAAACGATACAATTTTCCGTATTTCTGTTTCTAATAAAAGCGGAAGCATGTGTGCACGTCTACTCTTATTCATAGTAATTAATGCTTGAAAAGCTCTTGATAGCTTCCTC